GAATCCACCCAGTGGCACTACGGGAAACAGACTTCAAGGTGAGTCCACCCAGTGGCACTACGGGAAACAGACTTCAAGGTGAGTCCACCCAGTGGCACTACGGGAAACAGACTTCACGGTGAGTCCACCCAGTGGCACTACGGGAAACAGACTTCACATTGAGTCCACCCAGTGGCACGACGGGAAACAGACTTCACAGTGAGTCCACCCAGTGGCACAACGAGAAAAAAATTCACAGTGAGTCCACCCAGTGGCACTACGGGAAACAGACTTCACGGTGAGTCCACCCAGTGGCACTACGGGAAACAGACTTCACGATGAGTCCACTCGCGTCGAGACGATTCACAAAATACATGAATGGGCAATGAACGGGCAATGCACGGGTAATGAACAGGCAATGAACCAGCAATTAACGGGCAATGCGTCTCTTCCGACAGTTCACCTGCATTGGTCCAAGCGAGCCTGATCCCGCTACGTATGAATGACGCCATAGACCGCGTCATTTTGCTATGGCGCGTGCTTCAGTAACACGTGGCCATTCGCGAGCAACACGGAGAAGTGTGCAAGGAAGCGTGGGAGAGACGCGTGCTGGGGAATTACACCGACAGAGAGAGACGAGCACGTCTATTAGAGACGGACAGGTTTAGATACGTAGTGATCTTCATCCAGCAGTGGATAGACCTTGGTGTTGATTATACGATGAATATGTGGAGAGAGATACGCGTGCTGAGAATCACACAGAGAGACACGTGGATTGGAGAAAACACACGCGGGTAGAGACTTGGAGATCTTCATCCAGCAGTGGATAGACTTATTATAATAACCTTTCTCAGAAGAGAGTAATACAGCTCAGTGTACCGTGCCTGGTAAGATAAAGCATAGTTGAGTTTAATTTGCTTATATATTTTGTAAGCGATGTGTTTACCTTTCCTATAGTTACACTCTTCTCGTGTTTTTTTGTGCTGTTGTAACGGCTGCTTGGGTTGTGGCCGAAACGTCGTGAGAATTTTACGTTTCATTTTTTTTATTTCCCTTCTACGTGACTTTACCGAAAGAACCAAGAATATGATTTAAAGCTTTCGTGACTGCAGGGATTCATATTCTTGGTTCTTTCGGTAATGTCACGTAGAAGGGAAACAATAAAATAATAAAAATCTAAAACAATAAAACTATTTTATTGTTTCCCTTCTACGTGACTTCACCGAAATAACCAAGAATATGAACCAATAATATGTTGTAACGTTCTCATCCCGTGCCCCATTACTGGCAGTGCCGGATTCTCCTAGTCGCAAAAGTGGCTACGCGTGTAGTAGCTACTTATGCAGTAGCTACACGTGTAGTAGCTACGCGTGTAGTAGCTACATGTGTAGTAGCTACATGTGCAGTAGCTACACGTGCAGTAGCTACACATGTAGTAGCTACATATGCTATGAGCTCCGCACTTTAAAGGGCCCCGCCCTAAATGCTATCAATTCCGGTTCAGTGATTCTGCACTTGCTCTATTACTATAGTACTATACCGCCTTCAACTTTTATGAACGACTGGGTGTTCAAGGTTAGCGATTTGTCGTATTATCTGGCTTATAGCAAATGAAAAAATACAATTACTTTACTATGCAAGTTACAAATGTGTTCTAATATTTGTGTTTTTTTTATTTAGAGCCCCTTTATAACAACAAATGCCAAAGGCCCCGCACTAGCTTCATCCGGCACCGCTTAGTGGACATCTGTAAAAAAAGAGCTTTATAGCTCATCGGATTCCTCCTGTAGAACTTCTTATTCACTTTGTGGGTGCCACGGTGGCTAGATGTGAACTCCCTCGCCTGGTGTACAGGAGGTCGTGGGTTCTACCCGAGCTGCTGCTGCTGCTGTGTTTGTGGGGTTCTCCCTCTCTACATCGTGGCCACGTGTGTTCGTCTCCGGCTCATCCGTGGGTATTCCCCTCCACATTCACAATCACCACGCGTTAGAGAGAATTTGGCAGCAAAAATCTTGACTTGAAGCTTTCGTGACTGCAGGAATTCATTTTCTTTGGGTCTTTCGATAAAAAAAAACACGTCGATGGTTAAAAGAAAATAACAAATAATAAGTAATATTTAAACAACGTTTTTTAAACACACGCTTTAATGTAAATGTACCGTACTAGTAATGTAAGAACTCCACGACTCCAGGAAGTGGCCCTGAAGCTTGCCACAACGTAAGGGGACCGTGGACACTTAGACCCAAGCCGAAACATAACATATAAAAAAGATTGTTTAAATGTATTTTAATGATAGAACATAGTATTGTCATCAGTATGACATGAGTATACCGTCGATCACGACACAAGCGATGGTAATCTCTTTCCTCCTGATGACGGCTGCTTTACATTGCCACACGATGATGAAGAACGATGATCACGAGTAGACGCCACTTGCGTTGGGCGGATGTCATTTGTGACGGTCACGTCGCGTCCGAGAAAGATGGGCCCCCTACCTGCTAAAATCAACAAAAGTTTAAAGTAAATAAAGTAATCAATAAAAACATCGATATTAAACACCGCCACTCGCACGGTGAATTGGGACCGAGAGAGGCTGGCGCGAGGCCTTCGTCCAGCAGTGGAGAGAGAATCTCCCGTGGGTGTGACCACAAGCTGTCTCACAGCTGATGCCGACCTGTCTTCTATGTTCGTGGTTTATATACAAATCGCCGCGGACCCCTTTGCGGTACAGGAACCTCCGCCGCAGGGAGCGTGGTGGCGACAACGGTGGGTGCGGTTGACCGCGGTCCCTCGTGTCTTCCCCACTGACAATGGCGGCTTCCAGTGGCCGTGGTGGGCTCGCGTAGCGCGCTCCCTCCTCCACCTCCTCCTCCACCTCCTCCTTCCTCTTCACCATCGCTGTAGAAAGTTGTCCACCTCGTCGCCCGCCCGCCCGCTCGCCCGCCCGCCCGCGGTGAGAGTCGTGGCGTTCTCCACGCGGAGCCGACGATGCTGCTACACCTGGCGCTGGTGGTCATTCTCTGTAGCGTGATGGCCCTAGCTCACGTGCAGTTGTTCCTCTTAGAAGTAAGGTTTCGTTTACAAGAGGGATGGACGTGCAAAGGAGAACAAAAATAAATGTTAGGGGTCAATTGGGAAGTCGTAAGACACCTGGAACGCCCTGTACAGTGGTACACGTACAGTGCGTGTGTACAGTACATCTAGCATGTCGAACAGAATCAAAATATTTTCACTGCAAGAGGAATGCGATGAGCTAAAAACCCCTTTGTGACGGACGTCCAGTAGGTTACAGCATATGTATAGTATGTTAATAGCATGTGCTATGCTGTGTGTGGCGTGTTATACACGTGTGTGTAGCGCGTTATACACGTGTGTGTAGTGTGTTATACACGTGTGTGTAGCGTGTTATACACGTGTGTGTAGCGCGTTATACACGTGTGTGTAGTGTGTTATACACGTGTGTGTAGTGTGTTATACACGTGTGTGTGGCGTGTTATACACGTGTGTGTAGCGCGTTATACACGTGTGTGTAGCGTGTTATACACGTGTGTGTAGCGCGTTATACACGTGTGTGTAGTGTGTTATACACGTGTGTGTAGTGTGTTATACACGTGTGTGTAGTGTGTTATACACGTGTGTGTGGCGTGTTATACACGTGTGTGTAGCGCGTTATACACGTGTGTGTAGCGTGTTATACACGTGTGTGTAGCGCGTTATACACGTGCGTGTAGCGTGTTATACACGTGTGTGTAGCGCGTTATACACGTGTGTGTAGCGTGTTATACACGTGTGTGTAGCGTGTTATACACGTGTGTGTAGCGCGTTATACACGTGTGAGTGGCGCGTTATACACGTGTGTGTAGCGTGTTATACACGTGTGAGTAGCGTGTTATACACGTGTGTGTAGCGGATTATACACGTGCGTGTAGCGTGTTATACACGTGTGTGTAGCGTGTTATACACGTGTGAGTGGCGAGTTATACACGTGTGTGTAGCGTGTTATACACGTGTGTGTAGCGTGTTATACACGTGTGAGTGGCGCGTTATACACGTGTGTGTAGTGTGTTATACACGTGTGTGTAGCGTGTTATACACGTGTGTGTAGCGTGTTATACACGTGTGTGTAGCGCGTTATACACGTGTGAGTGGCGTGTTATACACGTGTGTGTAGTGTGTTATACACGTGTGTGTAGCGTGTTATACACGTGTGTGTAGCGTGTTATACACGTGTGTGTAGTGTGTTATACACGTGTGTGTAGCGCGTTATACACGTGTGTGTAGCGTGTTATACACGTGTGTGTAGTGTGTTATACACGTGTGTGTAGCGTGTTATACACGTGTGTGTAGCGCGTTATACACGTGTGTGTAGCGTGTTATACACGTGTGTGTAGCGTGTTATACACGTGTGAGTGGCGCGTTATACACGTGTGTGTAGCGTGTTATACACGTGTGAGTGGCGCGTTATACACGTGTGTGTAGCGTGTTATACACGTGTGTGTAGCGTGTTATACACGTGTGTGTAGTGTGTTATACACGTGTGTGTAGTGTGTTATACACGTGTGTGTAGCGTGTTATACACGTGTGAGTGGCGCGTTATACACGTGTGTGTAGCGTGTTATACACGTGTGTGTAGCGCGTTATACACGTGTGAGTGGCGCGTTATACACGTGTGTGTAGCGTGTTATACACGTGTGTGTAGCGCGTTATACACGTGTGTGTAGCGTGTTATACACGTGTGTGTAGCGTGTTATACACGTGTGTGTAGCGTGTTATACACGTGTGTGTAGCGTGTTATACACGTGTGTGTAGCGTGTTATACACGTGTGAGTGGCGCGTTATACACGTGTGTGTAGCGTGTTATACACGTGTGTGTAGCGCGTTATACACGTGTGAGTGGCGCGTTATACACGTGTGTGTAGCGCGTTATACACGTGTGTGTAGCGTGTTATACACGTGTGTGTAGCGTGTTATACACGTGTGAGTGGCGCGTTATACACGTGTGTGTAGCGCGTTATACACGTGTGTGTAGCGCGTTATACACGTGTGTGTAGCGTGTTATACACGTGTGTGTAGCGTGTTATACACGTGCGTGTAGCGCGTTATACACGTGCGTGTGGCGAGTTATACACGTGTGTGTAGCGCGTTATACACGTGTGTGTAGCGCGTTATACACGTGTGTGTAGCGTGTTATACACGTGTGGCGTAAGCTGGGAAGTGGTGGCGGTGTTGGCTATGCACGTCTGTGATCCGGCACTGTGGAATCGAGGGTTGGTGGTTCACACACAGATGGGCCACGAAACTCCTCCCTACCCGTGGGTGGGCGTCGAGGAGGAGCCCCGTACCCCTGGCTCTGCCAGGAGAAGGTGGTACAGCAAGGTGTGTAAGCTAATGTCATTTAAAGAACTAAACAAGTGGACTTCTCCGCAAATCTGACTGTCGCCTGATGAAGCTAGTTGTAATTACTGGCCAAGCGTCGTACTCCGATTGTAAATGTGGCTTGGCTCTCCAGCACTCCGGTGGGTGTGCTGTACTAGTGACGAATTGTCATGTTCTGTTTACGTGACAACCCTTACTAGTTGGCTGTGTCGGGTGGTGGAGGGTTTAACGACAAATTTGTACGCGAGATAACCCCAAAAAAACCTCTTATGGATGATATTGGTGCAGAAAACCTACGTGTTAAACTAATGTCCTTCTGTTTATTTCGTCTGTACGGGGATAGAGCGTTTCCCCCTCGCGGAAGGTATGGGTTTCTTCAGGTGGCCGCAGAAGCTCATCTGAAAGCGCGTAAAATAAGTTCAACATACATACATGATGGTGGTCGTGATGTTGATGATGTGGCCGTCTGGAACGCTCTTCCCTCCGATATTAAGAATCAATTGGAGCTCTGCACTTCTAAATAATCTAGATTGAAAACTCGTTTCTTTAGAACTACCTTTTGTGTTTAGTTTGTTGTCTTCCCGTATCTCCGATTGAGCACAGTTGGCTACGTACAGCGCGAAAGAAGTTCAACGTACACACATACAGAGAACTCCCGCAATTTTGCAGCTCCTCGTCCTTTGAAGGAGCGCAGACCACCTGCTCGAGTGCTCAGATATTTTTGCCCCCCTCCCCTCCTCCGTACGGATGATGTCGGGTTGTAACCTCCAGCCAAACTTTGTATGCCCTTCATATATCCAGCAAGGTCCTCGTTTTTATAAGGCACCACTGCTAGTAGTAGCGGTAGTCATGGATGCGGTCTGAAATGTGCCGCGTCAAGCGAAAAACAAGTTAAGCGAAAAAAATTCACAATGCACAAAGTACTAACGACAAAGTAGTCACGATAAACATTATGAGACCTCTTTTGCCAGTAACAAGATATAGTAATAGGTTTTTACCCTTTTAGCTGGCACAAAAACTGAGACCTTTATACAAGGGATCATTTTTGCAATAGCCACAACACAAGCAGTCAAAAATGCAAACAAAAATAAACAACTCTGATAATGATATGCACTGTCCTTGAATTTGATTGGTCCACACCCGAGACGTACGCCTTATGGCGTCATCTGGTCCAACACCAGTGGAGACTAGGCTCTAAGACAAGCCGTCTCGGGTGTGGACCAATCAAATTCAAGGACAGTGCATATCATTATCAGAGTTGTTTCTTTTTGTTTGAATTTTTGACTGCTTGTGTTGTGGTTATTGCAAACATGATTCCTTGTATAAAAAGGTGTCAGTTTTTGTGCCAGCTAAAAGGGTAAAAACCTATTACTAGTCACGATAAAGTTTGGCGAGATGCGACGGACTACACACGCCACTTGGTGAGATGCCGTGAGATCTGCGTTACTGTATCGTTATAACGGCACACTACAACAGAGCGAGTTCGGCGGTTTAGCGAACAAACACTTTGTCATGTGAACTCCACCACACGTTATAGCAGCATTTGTTGGAGAAGGCTGCCTCTAAATTTAGATGTAAAGCTTTCGTGACTGCAGGGATTCATATTCTTGGTTCTTTCGGTAAAGTCACCACGTAGAAGGGGCGAAGTTAACGAGTTTGTGTGCCGTAGGCTACAAGCCATGAGTGGCGCTTGCGTCACTCGAGCTGATTCTACATTTTTATTTCAGATTGGAGTCGGGAGTTGTGTGACTTCATTAAACACCAACGTACCTGGCGCTGAACCGCCGCTGAACCATCATTGAACTGCTACTAAACCACCACTGAACCACACCTGAACCACCACTGAACCGCGACTGAACCACCGCTGAACCACCACTGAACCGCTACTAAACCACCACTGAACCACACCTGAACCGCGACTGAACCACCACTGAACCACCACTGAACCCTAGTGAACCACCACTGAACTACCACTGAACTGCTAGTGAACCACCACTAAACCACACCTGAACCACCACTGAACTGCTAGTGAACCACCACTGAACCCTAGTGAACCACCACTGAACCACCACTGAACTGCTAGTGAACCACCACTGAACCACCACTGAACCTTAGTGAACCACCACTGAACTGCGACTAAACCACTGAACCACACCTGAACTGCGACTAAACCACCACTGAACCACCACTGAACCTTAGTGAACCACCACTGAACTGCGACTAAACCACCACTGAACCACCACTGAACCACCACTGAACTGCTAGTGAACCACCACTGAACCACCACTGAACTGCTAGTGAACCACCACTGAACCACACCTGAACCACCACTGAACTGCTAGTGAACCACCACTGAACCCTAGTGAACCACCACTGAACTGCTAGTGAACCACCACTGAACCACCACTGAACCTTAGTGAACCACCACTGAACTGCTAGTGAACCACCACTAAACCACCACTAAACCACCACTGAACCACCACTGAACCACCACTGAACCACCACTGAACTGCGACTAAACCACCACTGAACCACCACTGAACCACCACTGAACTGCTAGTGAACTGCCATCAAACTGCCGATCCGGCGCTGAACCCCAGAGCCGATGCTCGCCAAGTCCATGGCAAGATGTAAACTGGTTACTGCTCGGTGAGCCCCACTAACCGGTTAGGTGAGCCCCGCTAACCGGCTCGGCGAGCCCGCTAACCGGAAGAGCAAGACGGCGGAGACGGTAGCAGCGGGGACGGCAAAAGCCGTGACGGCACCGGCGCCACCATGCGGCGCTACAGCCAGATCTGGAACTTCTTCGAGTTGAACGCGGAGACACCGAACCGCGCCGACTGCAAGCTGTGTGGCGCCAAGGTGTCCCGGGGAGGGCGGCGCGCCTCCGACTACACCACCACCAACCTCATCAGCCACCTGTGGCTGCACCACAAGGTCGCCTACCAGGTGAGTCGGCGGCGTTGTACGGAATGTTAACTGCCTCGCCCTGGCGTCTTCCGGTTGTTCACTCCACATTTAGGATCAACGTCACACGTTTAGAGGAGTTGGCTGCTGCTGTGAATTCCCACACGATGATGATAGGCCACTTCGTTGAGCTGTTATCATTTGTGATGTCCGCGCCGCTTATGATAAAGAGCCGTATATAGCTTAACACGTAGGCTTCTGAATATAAATCTGTCGTTAAACCCGCCACCACCCAACACAGCAATTAGTAACGTAAAACAAAACGTGCGACACTAAACGGTGTGTTGGAGCGTAAACCCACAACATTTACTTTTCGAGTACTGTGTATAGCTCAGTGGGCCCTTACATGGTAAAATTTTAAAAACTGTTTAGTTTGTCGGTGCAGCTTGAGGCCATCATGTGAAGTGTAGAAGGCTCGCCGGATAGGCCCAGGTGTAATATGGGTTGACCTCCTGAGATGACTGACGGATGCACCACCTGCGCTCCCCCCCAATGTAGCAACACTTCCACACTATAAAATGATCAGCCACTTCGTTCAGCAATTCGTGATGGTCAGGTCACTTCTGATTTTTTTTTTTAAAAAGCGACGGAGCTCAGTGGGGCCTTACCTGGTCAAATAAAAAAAAAAGTTTTAGTTTCATCACATTGAAGCCACAGCCAGAATTATTGGCAGGCAATAAATACTTATCCTGGGAAGCCACAATAAGCCCGAGGACTTCTCCTCAGCAGGGTCTTGCCTTGGCTATTCATGTACGTGTACATGTTGAATTTCCTTCGCACCGTACGTAGCCAACCGTGGCTAATCCGAGGTGCGGGAGAAGGCAAGTGCTGTTAGCGAGTAGCAGCACCGTTGAAGGCCGGCACACGAGGGGGTAGGTGGCAATGGTGGCCGCGAGCAGGCCGCCGGGTTCGTAGCACAGCGCGCTATCACCAAAACTACCGCTCCCCACTATTACCAATAACACACACACACAGACACACATGCGCACGTTCACACGCACGGCTAACGCCGGTAGCCCGGTGCGGGGGGGGGCGTGGTGGAATCGGCTCTAATGCCAGCGGAACGGCGGCGCCTGCCAGGAATACCGCAAGCGGCAGAAGGTGCACACAGCCCACGTGACTTCCTCCACTCACCCCCACCACCACCACGCCATCATCGGCGCCATCGCCGGGGGCGGCGTCATCATCGGCGACCCCGTCGGCAGCAGCGGCAGCAGCGGCAGCGCCGGCAGCGCCGACGACTTTCCAGCGCCCAAGCGGTGGTGCGTGGAGGCCGGAGAGGAGGCGCCGCCAGTGCTCGTCGGCGTGCCCAGCGGGGCCGGCGCGCCGGTGGGGGCCGGTGGCGCCGCCGGTGGCAGCGGCGCCGTCGACTACTTCTCGGCGTCGCCCAGCGTGCCGAGTGCGGTGGTGGCGGCGGCGGCCAATGGGAGCGAGGGAGGGCCCCACGACGGCCTCGTGGAGATGAAGTTCTGCATCAATGAGGTTGGTCAATTTGGGGGGGGGGGGGAGGCTAGAGGCAGGATATGGTTAGCAACTTGGAGGATGGGAAGGAGACATGGAGGGTGAGTGGTGGAGATGTGATCAGGCATGATGTGGTGGTGGGGGGGTGGTGGTGTTCATGGTGGTGGTGGGGAAAAAACAACCCCCTACCTCGGGGGTGCCGGATGGTAACGCTGTGATGGATGTGAGCAATGCCATGGAGGGATGGCCAATTCCAATCAGCTATACCCTTCATGGTGCATTGTAGCCACCACAAGTGGCCAAATAGGGGCTCTGGACAGGTGCGAGGGGATGGTACCCCCACCTTCAATTCACCTACCCCTAAACTACATGAAAAATATCGTACTCAGTTTGTACTGAAAGCTCCGGGGGCACCGGCGTCTATGACGTCTCCTGGCCAAACCCCATTTGGCGGATCCAGGAGATTGAATCCTTACCCTCGGGGTTCCTCTAGAAACAGCAAAAAGTAGTTGGGGGTGGCCACGTGAAATGTTCGAACGCTCACTGCGGAGAAGAAGCTGCCACTCCTCTGTCAGGAGCTGGACCGGTACTGCCTGGATTTCTGCGGTATTCAGGAGGTCTGGTAGACTGGCTCTGGCCCCAATCATCATGAGGGGTGGACAGTCCTCTACTAGGGGCAGGAGACTGCCAAGCAATAGGGAGTGGCTCTTGTGAATACAAGAATGAAGAGGGCATGGAGTGTGGCGGGGAGGTGTGGAAAGCTGTAAGTCCCAGTCTCCTGTGGACTCGCCTCCCCATTAACCAGAAGCAAGGAGTGGTGGAGGTGGTTGCTTATGCCCCCACTGAAGATCAGTGGAGGGATGCAGTCAAGGCCGATGAGTTAGATGCCTTTTATGACCTCCTGTCACAGGTGCCAGCTAAAGTGGCCCCTTGGGATAGAGTTATCCTGTTGGGTGACTTTCATGTCCGAGTTGGTCATGATGCTGGCACCTGGGCTGGAGTCATTGGAAGGCATGGGCCAGATCAGCCCAATGACAACAGTAGGAGGCTGCTCGACTTCTGTGCAGCCCATGGGCTCGAAATCACAAACACGCTGTTCCGTCATCGGCGCATCCACACAACATCATTGATTCCCCCCCGGCCCGAGAAATAACATCTGCTGTACTATATAATGACGGAACAGCAGATGCGGGCCCATGCCCTTGACACCAGTACCTCCCGTGGAGCGGATCTGCCCACTGACCATCGGCTTGTCATCTGTAAGATGCTCCTGCCATTCTTCCACTCCGGTGGTGGGTGTCCATCTAGGACCCTAGTGAAAACCACAGTGGCCTGGTCTCGGCTAGCTGATGAAAGTTGCAAGAATGTCATCACCGCTTGCCGCTGGGGTTGGCATCGTCCCCCACTCCTCCTGATGCCGCGGGGAAATGGGCAATGTTTAGGACTGTGGCTCATGCAGCTGCAATGGCTGCTTTGGGTACGCGGTCCAGACTTCCCCACAGACCCTGGCTGATGGAGGAGGAAGTGTTCCGGCTGGCTGAGAAAAAGCGACGGAACCGCTCCCACCGTCTATAGCATCCCATGTCGGAGAATGACGAGGATTACCGCAGCCTTCGCTCGGAGGTTCGGAGAGTCGTGCGGCGCACCAAGGATGAGTGTTTGTCGCTGGTTGCTGAGGAGAGTGCCCTAGGTAGCCTGGGATCACAAATCACTCTAACGCCATCAAAAATGTAACTTGCAGTGCCACACCTACCTATCACCATCCTGAGGGTAAAGACAGGTGATCCGATTTCCAACCCCCAGGAACAGGTTTGAAAATTGGCTGAGCATTTATGTGTTGTCTTGGGGGACGGGAAATCCCTCAGCCTGGAAACATCATGGGGCAAAGTGGGGATGACCGTGCTGAGGCTGCCGTGTCTCAAATATTGGAAGGAGTCGCACCCCGTGAGTGGCTGACTGAAGTGTCATCTATTGAAGTACAGAAGGCGATCCATAGTCTGAGACCAGGAAGAGTGCCAGGCAGAGATGATCTCCCAAGCATAATATTGAGGGAAGGTGGCGTTTGTGTGCACTATATGACATAATAACTGTGTGGACCACTGGATGGGTTCCTCTTTAAGAAGAGGGACCGCACAGACTGTAACAACTGCAGGGGTATCTCCCTTCTCAATGTGCCGGGAAAGGTCCTGACAAGGATTATTACATCGCCTTGCCAGACGCTTAGTTAATCCTCTTTATCCCCTATGGGACATAAGGCCACATGAGGAGAGGCTTGCGGAGCCCCAATATGATTTCAGGCCAGGGCGGTACTGCACAGATCCCACATTTTCTGTTAGTTTTCTACAGCAGAGGTGTAGGGAATTCCATCAGGACCTACATCTCTGCTTTATTGACCTGGTCAAGGCCTGTGATACCATCAATAGGCCTGGGCTCTAGGTTGCTACTCGGCCGGAAGTCGGAGCCATTCCCTGTTCACCTTGGGGTGAACAGGGAATGGTAGTTTGAGAAACATTCCATGGCTGTACCAACGGAATTTCTATCTGGTACAGATCAAATGGGAGGCTGATCGATGCCCGGCTGCGGTAGATGGATGGCTCCCTCTTGGTCAACCATGTAATGTATGTTGATAATCTTGTGATTGCCGCTCACTCAGAGGAGGAGTTGGAGGCGCTACTGCTGAACCTGGAGCGTGCCACCAATCAGCCCCACCAAAGCTAAGCACCTGCCTGGGTATTTTGTACCATCAGACACTCAACCCCCTCAACTCCCCATTGGTGATGGGGCAGGAGTGGAGCGTTTTCCCTACCTGGGCAGTGTGCTTATGCTGTGAAACCTCCAGTTTGACAGCAGAGGTATCACTTCGAATCAGTCGGGTGGCATTATCTTTCCTCGGTTGCGTAATACTGGAAGCTACCTGGTCTGTCGCTCCACATGAAGCTTCGGGTCTTCTCGGCCACGGTTATGCCCTCCCTTCTCTACGCTTGCGAAACGTGGACCCCCCTTATTGGAACATCTTCACCGGTTAGAAACATTTAGGCTGGCCTGCCTTGATCCATCCTGGGTTTAACCAGGCTGGATTATGTGAGCTCACAAATCCTCGAAAGATGTGGACAAAGTCCCATCGGTGAGCTCCTCCGGCAGGCAAGGCTGCGTTGGCAGGGTCATGTAGCCCGCATACCCAGCCACCGTATGCCCAAACAGCTTTTGTTCGGCCGGATAGAGGGGGATAAACAGGCGCGGCACAGGCTAGAGAAAAGATGGAGTGATGTGGTGGAGCTGAGTGGACTTGCCAACGACTGGTAACAGCAGTGTCAAGATGGGCCTCTATGGAAGAGGCTCGTGATGGACAACTGAGGTCAGAGGAGTGACGCTGACAACAACGAGCGGAGCACCGGGGGGTTAAAACACTTCACGTGGCCTTAACGTATACATAGCCTGGCACAAGCGCCGTGGTGATGTCACCGCCACTTATTGGCGAATGCTGGTTGTTGTTGGTGATGGGGGTTGTAGTGGTGGTGGTGATGGGTGGTGGAGGTGGTGGAGTTGGTTGTGGAAGTGGTTCTGGTGGTGATGCGGTGGTGGTGGTGGTTGTGGTGGTGCTGGAGTTGGTGGTGATGGTGGCATCTCCGGCTTTGGCCACAATAGCATCTCTGGTCTTCCCCCAGGTGCAGGGCAACGTAAGCAACGTCTCCATGGAAATACCTTTACAATTTCAACATCATCTGCAGCATCCGCAGCATCATCAGCAGCAGCAACAGCGTCCGCAACTTAATCATCAGCCGCAGGTGCGTGGCCACACGCGGGGCCGTCCAACGGCGTCGCCGAGAACGTCGTCAACGTCGGCGCCGGCGTTCGCCCCTTTCTGCGCGATGCGCGTCGTGCCCCTGGACTGCAAGATGGTGGAGATGGTGGCGCAGGACGGGCGCCCGCTCTCGTGCGTGCGCGACGCCGGCTTCCGCCGCCTGCTGGCGCACCTCTCTCCGGGCTACCGGCCCGGCTCGCCGACGCTGCTCGCCGAGCGGGTGGTGCCCGACGTCCTGGCGGCGCTGCGCGCCCGCCTGCTCTGCCTGCTGGGCGGCGCCCGCAGCGTGGCGCTGTCGGCCCGGACGCTGCGTGCCGGCGACGGGGAGCCCTGGCTCCTGACGGCGGCCCACTGGCGCTGCCGCCGCGTCGCCGGCGGCGGATCCGGGCAGCAGCAGCAGCAGCAGCGGCGTCGGCAGGGTTGCCGACGCCGCGCGCTGGTGCGCTGCGCGCCCACCGACTTCGCGCCGCCGCGCGCCACCGCCGTCGCCAAGGAGCTGCAGAAGGTGATCTTCTGGGGCGTGCGGCGCGTGTCCGTGCTGCTGGTGTGCGGCGGCGGCGGCGATTTCACCGACGACGCGGAGGCTGTGGGGAGTGCGGAGGAGCTGGCGCGCGAGGCGTCCACCCTGGCGGCACTGCCCGCGGCGCCGTGCGCGTCGCACCTCCTGCGCGTCGCCGTCGCCCGCGGAGCGCTGGCGCTCGCGGCCACGGAGCGGCTGCTGCTGGTGCTGCGCGGGCGGCGTGCCGGCCGCGGAGACGCCGACTCGCGACGGCAACCCCCGCCCGCCGGCGCCCGCGCCACGGGCCTCGCCGGCGGGTGGACGAGCGCGTACCGGCTGCTGCGTTCCGCTTCGGCGCGCCGGCACAAGCAAGGCGGCGCCGGCGGCGCAACTGGCACGAACTGGACCTCTCTGCGTCTGTCGGCGAGCCAGGAGCGGCTGCTGCAGCTGCTGGCGCTGCTGCTGCGGCCTGTGGCGGAGGTGGCGCGGGAGCTGGCGCGCCCCGACGCCACGCTGGGCGCCGCCATCCCCCTGCTGCGCGTGCTGCTGCGCTCGCTGGCGGCGGCGGCGCGAGCGTCGTCCGGGGAGCGCCGGACGCCGGCCGCGGACGACGCTCGCGGCTCCGGCGGAGGCGGCGCCGTCGACGAGGAGGAGGAGGACGAGGAGGAGGAGGAGGACGACGAGGGTCTTCGCGCGGGGCTGCTGGCGCCGCTGGGCCGCGCGCTCGAGGCCCTGGAGTCGTGCCGCTGCTCCGCGCTGGCCACCGTGCTCGATCCGCGCTTCAAGTGCGCCTTCTTCTCCAGCGATGGCGCCGCCGCCCGCGCCCGCGCCTGGCTCCTCGAGGACGCCGGCGTCGGCGGCGGCGACGACGACGACAACCGCGATGACGACGAACGCGGCGGCGCCGGGCATGGTGGAGCGGCGCGCGGTGGCGCCGGCGCCAGCGGCTCCTCTGAGATTTGGAGCCGCTTCGAGGAGGTGATCGCGGAGCACCGGCCGGCCGGCGCCCGCCTCTCCCCGGCGGAGGAGGTGACGGTGTACCTGCTGGAGCCGCCGGTGGAGCGCACGCGGTGCCCGCACGCCTGGTGGGGCGCGGGCGACGGTGCCGAGGACACCGCCGGCACCGCCACCGGCGCTGTTTCCGCCGGTGGCGACGGCGATTGCGGCGGCGGCGGCTCCAGGTTCCCCCGTTTGGGCCGTCTGGCTCGGCGGTTGTTGGCGGCGCCGCCGACTTGCGGTTGCGGCGACGGCGACGGCGAGGAGGACGACGGCGGCAGTGTTGGTGATTGTGGCGACGGTGGCGGAGATGGCGGCGACGGTGGCGACTGCGTGTGGGGTCAGCGAGTGCCGCGGTCTTGGCACGGCGAGCTCGGAGCGGCGCTACTGGTGATCCGGCACGGGCTGCCCGCCGTGGACTACGCCTACTGAGTCGGACGGAGCGCGCCGTTGCCCGACATCGAGAACCCGGCACCGGTCTCAGAACCCCGCGGTTTTTGCCGCCTTTTGGCGAGGCCGGCTTCGCCAAAACGTGTTCACGGCTCTGGCTCTGTTTCGGCTCAACGGCACGCTGAAAAAGCCACCCGCAGCCGTGCCAGCCGCCACGCTGGCTTGGCTCGGATGCTGTGCCAGTGGGAAAAGTGGAAATCAGACCAAACCAAATATTCACCCGCTATGTAGCAGCTCAGTGGGGCCTTACCTGGTATAAGAAAAATGTAATCGTTTTAACTGTACTGCTATTCAACCGGTTTCAACGGGCGTGGGGGGAGTCATTCAAAAGCTTGGCGATTTATTTTTATCCATACAATTGCAGTGGTGGTGTTTTTTGAGTTTTTGTTTAGTTTTACCCGTGCCACCTTATTAATATAAGTAATGAGCTAATCTTCCCGGTGCTGCTTATGCGATCTAACGTATACAATGGCACGGCAGCGTTGACGGCTTGAAAATAATACAACGGATAGGCCTAACTTTTGACGTCCTCTGGTCTAACACCGTTGGAGACGAGGCTCAAAAGAAAGCTTTCTCTGGTGTGGACCAATCAGTTTCAAGGACGATGCATATATTATCAGAGTGTGTTTTGTTTGCATTCTGACCACAAGCATTGTGGTTAATGCAGACATGATTCCTCGTAAAAGGTTTCAGTTTGGTGTTTTAACATATTCACACAACTGTTTTGTTGCCAGAAAAAAGGGGAAAAACCTATTATCATAGGCCTAACTTATCCGTGTGCATCTCTTCTGACAGCAGCTGTTCACAGTTACCTCCGTAACCTACTTTTTAACGTTGATCTAGCTATCGTTATTGTATTATCATTGGTTTTTATATATATGACAGCAATTGTAATACATATTTACAGCCCTTTGTCGTTCCACTGCTTGGATGATGGTCTCCCCCACCACTGTCTGGATGTGAATTGGGGGTTGGGGGGAGGTTTGACCATACTTCACCGAGCCAGTCGGTGAGGATTGGTGGAGCCAGGAGTTGGAGGGAGAACCGGCCCGTGGCTGGGAATGGAACATGGGCGTTACCGGTTCGCGTAGCGGCAGTGCTCTCACCACTTCGCGACCGCTACGCCCGCTCAACGTAGGTTACGGCTGTATTGTGAAATTTTATGGACGTTACAAAAAAATACAAAGATTCCCCGTATCGCCTGAACAGGCTGTTGGGGAAAGTGCTGTTAGCGAGCAGCAGCACCTATGAAGGCCGGCACGGCAGACGAAGGGGTGGGTGGCCAGCACCACGCTCGGCCACCTTTGTCTTCCTGTTGGTCGTGCTTAAATACCGCACCAGAAACATTACTCATTTTAGGCTGAGTCTACCCTAGAGGAGTCCCAGGACCAGTTCAAATAACCCTGACTGGTGTTGGCCATGAGCGGGAATTGAACTCGGATTGCCGGGTTCGATGATAAGCTATGTTGCTCTGAAAAAGGGCTATATAGCTCAGTGGGCCTTGCCTGGTAAAATAAAAAATAGTTTAGTAGTGCAGCGCTCACCACTACACGACCACTCGCCAATATTACACAGTCACGCATGCATTTGTTCTGTGAAAAACATGGCAGAAAACCTGTGAAGGGAGCCTTTGAGACTCCGCGAGGCTTTTCGGGGCAAACGGGCGTCACGAGATTGATGAATGCACGACGCCCCCCTCCAGGATTAACAATGGGTCGGTCAAGTTTTATTTCACTACTTTGTAACACGCAAGCCTGTCGTGGAACTTAACATTTCGCAAGCAAACCAAGAGCCGTTCCGTAAGCAGTACGCACGTTCTGGTGCCACTCGCTGTGCCCGCTTGGGAAAGGCCTCGGAGTCATCTGGGATGGAATCCCTCCTCTCCATCTGGTCGCTGACCGGGAATCTCATTCTACTCTTGGCCGAGCCCTCTGCACCTATGCCTCTAGTACTGTGACTCTGTGGATTGATTGGCACCTAATACTCACCTACTGACTCATCCGCTCGGGATCTTCTCTGCGTGAGTGCCTCGAGTACTGTGACTACGTGGATCGAGTGGCACTCCGCAACTCGCCTCTCCGGCTACCCACTCAGCTACGCACTCAAAGCTCCCTCTTCCACGACGTCCCGACACCTGGGGCTTGGCTCTCCCAAAACACGACCGGTGTGCTGTACTAGTGACGAATTGGCCACGTTCTGTTTACGTGACAACCCTTACGAGTTGGCTGTGTCGGGTGGTGGCGGGGTTTAGCGACACGTTTATACAGTGAGGGGAAGAAGTATTTGATCCCCTGCTGATTTTGTACGTTTGCCCACTGACATAGAAATGATCAGTCTATAATTTTAATGGTAGGTTTATTTGAACAGTGAGAGACAGAATAACAACAACAAAATCCAGAAAAACGCATGTCAAAAATTGTATAAATTGATTTGCATTTTAATGAGGGAAATAAGTATTTGACCCCCTCTCAATCAGAACGATTTTTGGCTCCCAGGTGTCTTTTATACAGGTAACGAGCTGAGATTAGGAGCACACTCTTAAAGGGAGTGCTCCTAATCTCAGCTTGTTACCTGTATAAAAGACACCTGTCCACAGAAGCAATCAATCAATCAGATTCCAAACTCTCCACCATGGCCAAGACCGAAGAGCTCTCCAAGGATGTCAGGGACAAGATTGTAGACCTACACAAGGCTGGAATGGGCTATAAGACCATTGCCAAGCAGCTTGGTGAGAAGGTAACAACAGTTGGTGCGATTATTCGCAAATGGAAGAAACACAAGAACTGTCAATCTCCCTCGGCCTGAGGCTTCATGCAAGATCTCACCTCGTGGAGTTGCAATGATCATGAGAACGGTGAGGAATTAGCCCAGAACTACACGGGAGGATCTTGTCAATGATCTCAAGGCAGCTGGGACCATAGTCACCAAGAAAACAATTGGTAACACACTACACCGTGAAGGACTGAAATCCTGCAGCGCCCACAAGGTCTCCCTGCTCAAGAAAGCATATATACATGCCCGTCTGAAGTTTGCCAATGAACAGCTGAATGATTCAGAGGACAACTGGGTGAAAGTGTTGTGGTCAGATGAGACCAAAATGGAGCTCTTTGGCATCAACTCAACTCGCCGTGTTTGGAGGAGGAGGAATGCTGCCTATGACCCCAAGAACACCATCCCCACCGTCACATAGAGGTGGAAACATTATGCTTTGGGGGTGTTTTTCTGCTCAGGGGACAGGATAACTTCACCGTCAAATCTTGGGTGAGAACCTCCTTCCCTCAGCCAGGGCATTGAAAATGGGTCGTGGATGGGTATTCCAGCATGACAATGACCCAAACACACGGCCAAGGCAACAAAGGAGTGGCTCAAGAAGAAGCACATTAAGGTCCTGGAGTGGCCTAGCCAGTCTCCAGACCTTAATCCCATAGAAAATCTGTGGAGGGAGCTGAGCGTCAGTCTCGAAACCTTAATGACTTGGAGAAGATCTGCAAAGAGTGGGACAAAATCCCTCCTGAGATGTGTGCAAACCTGGTGGCCAACTACAAGAAACGTCTGACCTCTGTGATTGCCAACAAGGGTTTTGCCACCAAGTACTAAGTCATGTTTTGCAGAGGGGTCAAATACTTATTTCCCTCATTAAAATGCAAATCAATTTATGACATTTTTGACATGCGTTTTTCTGGATTTTGTTATTCTGTCTCTCATTGTGTTCAAATAAACCTACCATTAAAATTATAGACTGATCATTTCTTTGTCAGTGGGCAAACGTTCAAAATCAGCAGGGGATCAAAAACTTTTTTCCCTCGCTGTATATTTACGCGCTCTAACCCAAACAAAACCTCTTCCAAATATACAGCAGGTGTCAGGCTCCGGATTGAACCCACGACCTCCTGTATACCATGTGAGGTAGTTAACATCTCGCCACCTTGGTGCCCACTAACCTGTGCCCCTATACCACGACTGTCTTGACTGCGATCCATGTCTCAGCTCTGTAGAGCACCCAGTAAACATTGAGGAATTATCTCAACTCACAGCGACTTCAGTTTAGCAGCAAGACCTTGATGATAACAATCCTGAGTGTTGTGGCACCCTAATACACGCACTCACGCATATATATAAATAATAGACAATTTATATAATCGGAAATGTATGATCTGTATATTCCATTTTCTAGTACAACATCGAGTGTTGTCATGTCACATGGATATGGACACGAGCAGATAAACTAAAACTACGGTAAACTTTATTTTTCCAGGTAAGTCCCACTGAGTTCTGTAGCTCTTTTTCAGAAGCGACCTGGCCATCACAAATGTTGATACCTCAACGAAGTGGCTTATCATCATCATCATCATCGTGTGGAAGTGTATGACCGCAGCCAAATACACAAACGCGTGACGTTGAGTCTAAATGTGGAAGGAAAAACCGGACCACGGGGAGAGAGAGAGACGTGCAAACTCCAAATATACAGCAGGCATCGTTAGGGTCGGGATCAAACCCACGACCTCCTGCACACCAGGCGAGGGAGTTAACATCTCCAAGCCACCGTGGCGCTCTGGAGGTGGACGGGAGGAGGTTCTTCTCGTTCAGCGGCTAGTTTTGTCCTGCGAGCGCTGTGGGTTTTGTTTTTGTCTCCCCAGATTCTGTGAAGTAAAAACGCTTCGATCAGTCACAGTTGGCTACGTACGGTGTGGAAGAAGTGCACCGTACATGCGTACGTCCATCATCGTGGCCGCTTTTCTCCGGGGCCGAGTCCCGAACATCAACGTAACGTGACACTCGGGTTCCGTTCAGATCTATACCAGAGCTGTCGTGACCCCACCCCCCGTTACGCACAGACAGATGGGTACAAAGACAAAGATCCCACGTATAGCCTGAACAGACTTTTGCGGCAAGTGCTGTTTGCAAGTAGCAGCGCCTATGTAGGCCGTCATTGTACACAAGGGGGTCGGTGGCCAGCAACCACGCCTGGCCACCTTTGTCTCCCCAGTGGCGATGTTTACTACACACCGCACCAGGTACTCATTTGAGACTGAGTCGACCTAGGGGAGGCCCAGGACCGGTTCAGATAATCGTCACTGGTGTTAGCCGTGAGCGGGAATCGAACTGGGGTCGCCAGTTTCATGGCGCAGCGCGCTAACCGCTGCACTTCCACTCCTAACACATGCACAAAGACAGATCCCCCCACATAGCCTTAACGGACTGTTGAATCAAGTGCTGTTAGCGAGCACCCTACACACAAATACACACCAATATCCGCCATTCACCACAAAGCGACGGTGACGTCGTGGCGCTTGTGTGCCAGGCCAGGTGCACTTTGAGGCCACGTGAAGTGTGGAAGGCTCGCTGAGAGGAGGTGACGGGACAGACCCAGCAGGTGCCATGGGTTCACTGATTGAGATGGCGGGCCGACTGTCTCAACTTGCCGCATTTTAGCCGCCTGGTGCGCCGCTCGTTGTTGTGAGCGTCGCTCCTCCACCCTCCGTTGTCATTGGAGGGACGACTGCCTCCAACTGCCCATTAGCGTCCTTCACGAGCCTCCTCCACAGAGGCCGATCTTGACACCGCTGGTACCAGTCGTCGGCAAGTCCACTCAGCTCCACGTCCTCCTGTGCCACATCACCCCATCTCTTCTCCAGCCCGTGTCGTGCCAATTTAAACGGGCACACACAAAGACACACGACACAGCGATAATGATTTTCTACAGGGCAAGCACGCTAAGGGCAACACAACTTTTACGCGAGGGGTTCCGGTTCACGTCAGTCTGTCTAAATGAGAGCCATCGCGGTCCCACGTCACGCACAGATGGACGGACGGATGAACAAACGGACGGACGGACGGACAAACGGACGGACGGAGCTAATGTGGTTGAGCCTCCGCGTCGCCGTTGACGACAGACAGGCTGCTGACGAGCCGCTGCAGATCCCCACGCTCCAGCCCAACCTCCTCCGGCGGCCCATCCACTAAACCTCCACCCAGCTCGTCCCGGAGGCCGCGGCGCTCCTCCATCTCGCGCCGCGCCTCGTTGATCAGCACCCCCATGGGGGCCGCGTAGTCCGGATCCCGGCCCTCGCCGGTGGAGGAGGAGGTAGCCCCGAGGTCCTGGTAGTCCGGGTAGAGAGAACCCCTCCGCCGATGGACTATCGAGTTGTCCACCATGCTGTCGATATCGTCTGGAGCTGCAGGAAAAGGGACGATGTATGTGTGTGTATGTTGAACTCCTTTCGCACCATGCATAGCCAATTGTCCCAATCAGATGTGTGGGGGAAGGAGAAACAAACTCAACACAAAAATCAATTCTAAAGAAATCAGTTTTCAATCTGGGTCTTTGTGTGAGTCGATGGGTCTCTGTGTGAGTCACTGGTGACCAGGCTGAGACCGCTAACTAATTGCACTTGAGAATCTCCATGGTTGGGGCTGAAACCCAGAGTGGAACCCAGGCTCTTAGTGTTGCGGGCTCAGCGGCATCAGTGGCTACCGCCCCATTTCTCTTCTCCACGATTTCTCCAGACTCTCCGAATGCCTGGTAAGCTCTCGTCTTTCCCACTACTCATCTTCTAACTCTCTCTACCCCCAATTCCAATCTGGTGTTCGTCCCTCTCCACCGAAACGGCTCTTCACTTCACAGTCACCTGGCTAACTCTGCTCACGCTGACCTATCCTGGCTGCACACTTGGGGGTGGTGACGGTGCCTTTGCAACTGCGACACCTAACCTCTGGAACTCCTTGCTCCTTCGAGGTCAAAGGGACTTCCCAGACACTGACAAATCTTAAAATCTCTGCGGAGAACGTATCGGCTTAACATGGCTCTCTTGAGCTCTTTTCAAACGTCTGCGTCACTTCTTCTTTACTTGGTTGTTAACTATTTTCTGCCTTTCCACGCAAAGCGCCCTGAGAACGACTGTTTAAGGGCGCTATATTCATTTAAATTATTATTTTACTCCTCGACCCGTCCTCAGCTTTTGACACGGTTGACCACCCCCTACTCTCTCTTCTCTCGGCATCTGCTGCGGCACACCGCTCTCCTGGCGACAGTCCGATCTCTCTCTCCGAGCGCCTCTGCGGTCTCATTCAATCATTGCTACTTCCCCTTCCGCAGCACCCCCCCCCCCCTCCCGTACACTGTCGGTGTTCCGCAATGGGCTGTTCTTGGTTCCCTAAATTGTATCTCTCCATCTCACCACTTGCAACGTTTCCTTTTCTTCGCCGAACTTTCCCCCAGTCGCCTCTTCACGGACGGCATCCAGAATGATCTCCTTTCCCCCCGACTTCGCCTCTCGCAGCCTGCCTCATCGCTCTGTCCAATCTGGGGTGTCACGTGTCTCTCTCCGTCGACCCTTCGAAAAACTCAAATTCTCTTTTTCCCCGAACTCCCGTTCCTCTCCTCCATTCTCTTTCCCCTCCTTTTTCCAATTCCCCTCATTCCTCAGCCCGCAGCCTTCCTTGGTATCATCTTTGACTCTCCCCTCACCAATCGCAACTCCGCCACTACCCCTGCTTGCCGGTTCCACCTCTGCTGCGAACTCCTCATCCATTCCCTTATCCGTACCCATCTGGATTACCGCAACTCTCTTACCCTCGGTCTCCCCATTTACTCTTTTAACCCTCTTCAACAAATCCCCAACAACTCTGCTCGGATAAAATTCAACCATTCGCTATAATTCCCATACCCCGACCCGCCTCGTGCAACTGCACCTGCTCCCTGTCTCCTACCGCTGCCTGTTCAAATTCCTCACCCTGGTCTACACAGATCCCTGCGTGGCCCAGCCCCACCGCATCTTGCCACTCTTGTATCTTTCTGCGTCGTCTTCTCGCCCTCCACGTTGTCTCTCTCTCTGTGCCTCCTCCTTGCGCTCAATCCACGCTCTCTCTCTCTCCTATCCCACCCCCTTCACTGGAACAAACTTCCCCCTCCACATCACCTGCACTCACTGTTTCCGCTCCTCACTCAACTCACGGTTCCCCAGATGCACGGGCAGGGAAACTCACCACCGTCCTCGTCGTAGTCCTCGTCGCTGGGCATCAGCTCGCTCATCTCGGCCCTGACGAGGTCATCGAGGAGGTTGGGGAGGGTGAAGACGTCGTTGCCGTCGTCCACGGCCGCCTCGAAGATCCTCTCCACCGCCTCGTCGTCGTCGCCGTCGTCGCGAGGGAAGAGCACCGCGTAATCCTCGTCGGGAGCCTCCACAAACACGTCGTCACCCTCGTAGTCGCCCTCCGTCGCCATGCCGCCGCCCTCCGTCGCCGTGGCGCCACCCTCCGTCACTGCGATGCCACCCTCCTTCACTGCGGTGCCACCCTCCATCGCCGCGATGTCACCCTCCGATGCGTCACCACCCTCCGTCAGGGCGGCGCCACCCTCCGTCAGGGCGGCGCCACCCTCCATCGCCGCGATGCCACCCTCCATCGCCGCGATGCCACCCTCCGTCAGTACGGTGCCACCCTCCGTCACTGCGTCACCACTTTCCGTCACTGCGTCACCACCCTCCGTCAGTGCGTCACCACCCTCCGTCACTGCGATGCCACCCTCCGTCAGGGCGGCGCCACCCTCCGTCACTGCGGCGCCACCCTCCGTTGGCGCGGTACCACCCTGCAGAGGGGAGGGGAATGACTTATCCAGCCACTGTCGCATCTTCAAGGCCCTGGCTTCTGCCAGGTTTTCGCTACGCTCTGTTGACAGGGGGTGAGGGGGGTTCCATCCTTTCTGAGGCGTTGGGCTACAAACAGTGCTCTGTGTCATGTGAATCGGCGTCACGCGTTTAAAAATGACAATTCCATTTATTTCGCGCTTTTCATCAAGGGTCTCGAAAACGCTGTATCGGACACAGCTGCAGCAGACAGCATCAAAATAATTATATTAGAAATACATCCTAAGAATCCATTTACCAAATGAACTAAAAGTTTAACAAGCGGAAGCGTCTAAGTAGGTTTTAGGACCCATTTTTTAAATGTTCACCGACTCTCAGAGAGATATTTTCTGATACCTCGTGGAAGATCTTTCCGAAGCCTGGGCGCTACACGGGGAACAATGTCATGGTCCCCCATAGGCCGAATAAGCCTCGACCTGGGAATGCAGAGAGAAGATCTGCCCCACATCTTAGGGACCTTGAGGGGGATGTATGGGTGCAGCACATAAATTATGTAGGCTGGGTAAGATAGTTCACTGCTTTGTAAGTTAATAGGATTTTAAACTGGAAACTGTGAAACTGGAAGCCAGTGCAGGGAGGCCAACACGGGCGTAATATGATGTGAAGAAGGTGTTCTGCTTTACACCCTAGCAGCCGCATTCTGAACATGCTGCAAATTTAGAGTATGTGGCTATTGCAATACATTTCCACGTGATGATGATGATAAGCCACTTGGTTAAGCTCTTATTTATAATGCCCAGGTCACTTCTGAAAAAATAAAAATTAAATGTTTTAATAGTTTAGTTTATTTGGAAAGCATTGGCCTGGTTTTAACTGCAGTGGTTTGGACCAGACTGGTTTGGACCGGACTGGTTTGGACTGCAGCTGGTTTGGGCTGGACTGGGCTAGTTTGGGCTGGACTGGTCTGAACTGGTCTGGACTATGGACTGGACTAGACTAGTTTGGACTGGTCTGGACTATGGACTGGTCTGGACTATGGACTGGACTAGACTAGTTTGGACTGGACTAGACTAGTTTGGACTGGTCTGGACTATGGACTGCACTAGATTAGTTTGGACTGGGCTGGACTAGTTTGGGTTGGACTGGACTGATCTGGGCTGGACTGGACTTGTCTGAACTGGGCTGGACTATGGACTGGACTAGACTAGTTTTGACTGGACTAGACTAGTTTGGACTGGGCTGGGCTAAGCTAAGCAGGGTCACACCTTGTCCACCTTACGGAGTCGCTGCGGCGTGGCACTCACCACGAGCCCCACAGAGTCCGCTCCGTTGTGGAACGAGCCAGGGACGTCAGGCTCCTTCCACTGCTGCTGCGGTGACATCGTCTGTGAAGGCATCAGCGTCATCATCATCATTGGACGGTAGTGGTGGATGAGGTGGTAGATGAGGTGGGGGGAGTAGTGAGGGAGATGAAGACACACTTGGGTGTGTGAGTTCATGCACAACAACAACAGCAGCCAGTCGCTATGAGGTAGCGGTGACGTCACCACAGCGCTCGTGCCAGGCACGGGTGTCGTGGTGGTGGCCAGGAGATGTTAACTCCCTCGCCTGGTCTACAGGAGGTCGTGGTTTCGATCCCGACCCTGACGCCTGCTGCTGTATATTTGGAGTTTGCGTGTCTCTCATCATCATCATCACGGTTGCCAGGAGATGTTAACTCCCTCGCCTGGTATACAGGAGGTCATGGGTTCGATCCTGACCCTAACGCCTGCTGCTGCTGTATATTTGGAGTTTGCGGTGTCTCTCTCCCCGTGGTCGCGTGGATTTTTCTCCGAGTCCTCCGGTTTTCCCCTCCACATCTAGAATCAAGGTCACGCGTTTAGAGTATTTGGCTACTGCTAAAAATGTTAACGTGATGATGATGATGTTTTTCCAATTTCGTTGAGCCATAATTTGTGATAGGTAGCTTCTGAAAAAGAGCTAAGTAGCTCAATAGTGGGGCTTTAGCTGGTAAAAAAAAATGTTTTCATAGTTTAATCGTTTTTAATCTCTCGGGTTTAAAAATGTGGACTGGCAAACGCAAGAAGCGCACTCGTGACAAACTCTGACGGCCACGTGGAATTTACCGTACAGATTATCATCGCGACTGCACAAACAGCGGTCGTTGATATCCAGGATGTGAATCTTTAAAAGTCTCCGGAACATGGCCAAAGCAAAAACAGAGTCCAGGGGTGGTCCAGGTGTCGCGTGATCATCACCAAATTAAAAATTAGAGCCCTCACAATTATGTTTTATTTCCTTTGCTTATTCATTTCTGGCTTTGACACAAACATGATTTAAGTATACAAAATATTAAATAGATTATTTAAGTATACAAAATATTAAATAGATTACAAATATTAAGTATACAAAAATATTAAATTTTTGATAATTAAATGGAGGGGGGGTCACAAGTCATCCTGACACCCTGGTACAGTTCAACTATGTTTTGGTTTGGATAAATACATTTACAAATCGTTCTTGCGACACGAGACTGGGGTCAAAAATAATACAACAAGCATTGGTTGGCCATGAGAAAGTGTGCCCCCTCACCCTGAGAGACAGATCCAGGGATTGAACTCATCGTATCAATGCCCTCATAAATACACGCGTCTTGTCAATGTACCAATGCCCTTATCAATGCACCAATGCCCTTATCAATGCAAAAAAACCCTTATCAATACACCAATGCCATTACAAATGCACCAATGTCCTTATCAATACCCCAACGCCCTTATCAATGCACTATTGCCCTTATCAATGCACCAATGCCCTGTCAATACCCCAACGCCATTATCAATGCACCAATGCCGTTATCAATGGACCAATGCCCATATCAATGCACCAATGCCCTGTCAATACCCCAGCGCCCTTATCAATGCCCCAACGCCCTTATCAATGCACCAATGCCCTGTCAATACCCCAACGCCCTTATCAATGCACCAATGCCCTTATCAATGCACCAATTCCCTTATCAATGCACCAATGCCCTGTCAATACCCCAGCGCCCTTATCAATGCACCAATGCCCTGTCAATAACCCAGCGCCATTATGAATGCACCAATGCCCTGTCAATACCCCAACGCCCTTATCAATGCACCAATGCCCTGTCAATGCACCAATGTCCTGTCAATACCCCAATGCCCTGTCAATACCCCAATACCCTTATCAATGCCCCAACGCCCTTATCAATGCACCAATGCCCTGTCAATACCCCAACGCCCTTATCAATGCACCAATGCCCTGTCAATACCCCAGCGCCCTTATCAATGCACCAATGCCCTGTCAATACCCCAGCGCCCCCATCCATGCCCCCAGGCGCACCTGTGAGCGGGCGGTGTCGTCTCGAGTGCTTGGCTCAGGAGCGGCGTGGAGGAGGAGAGGGAAGAGGACGCAGAAGAGAGGAGAGAGATACATGATGGTGTGATGTGGGTGATGGTGTGATGTGGGTGATGTGGGTGATGTGGGTGATGGTGTGATGTGGGTGATGGTGTGATGTGGGTGATGTGATGGTGTGATGTGGGTGATGGTGTGATGTGGGTGATGTGGGTGATGGTGTGATGTGGGTGATGTTGTGATGTGGGTGATGGTGTGATGTGGGTGATATTGGTGTTATGATGTGGGTGATGGTGTGATGTGGGTGATGTTAGTGATGTGGGTGATGTTGTGATGTGGGTGATGTGATGGTGTGATGTGGGTGATGTTGTGATGTGGGTGATGTGATGTTGGTGATGTGGGTGATGTTGTGATGTGGGTGATGGTGTGATGTGGGTGATATTGGTGATGTTGTGATGTGGGTGATGTTGGTGATGGTGTGATGTGGGTGATGGTGTGATGTGGGTGATGTGATGGTGTGATGTGGGTGATGTGATGTGGGTGATGGTGTGATGTGGGTGATATTGGTGATGTTGTGATGTGGGTGATGTTGCGATGTTGGTGATGTGGGTGATGGTGTGATGTTGGTGATGTGGGTGATGGTGGTGATGGTGCTGGTAATTGTGTTGATGTTGGTGTTTGATGACGGTGATGTTAATGTCGGGAATGTTGGTGGTGATTGTGGTGATATTTAGTGATTATAATGGTGATGTAATGTTTATTTTGGCTACGTCAATTGTGATAATATAAATGAAGATGGTGATGTTGGTTGTGATATTACTGATGGTGATATTGATCGTGATTATATTGATGCTGATGCAGTTCGCTGATGACGCTGTTGCTGATATTGTGGATGTTGCTGATGATGCTGATGATGATGTCGCTGATGATGTTGCTGATGATATCGATGATGTCGCTGATGTTGCTGATGATGATATCGCTGATGATGATATTGCTGATGATGCTGATGATGATGTTGTTGCTGATGATGATATCGCTGATGATGATACCGCTGATGATGTTGTTGCTGATGATGATATTCCTGATGATGATGTTGTTGCTGATGATGAGGATGCGGCTGCTGATGTGAGGAGGAGCTGAGCCCAGGACCAACAGCAGCAGCGAAAGAGGGAGGGCCAACAGGAATCGATCCACACATTCCCTGATTTGGATACCAACCTATCAATTCCAATTCTTTCCAATGGCAAATAATTTTCCTATGCTGAACCGATTCATAAAAAGAGAATATATAACGATTACTCAAGATTAGATTCCACCTCCGCTGGATTCCAACGCTGTAGCTTCAATTGCGCAGTCGATTCCACTGCGCATCAATTCCGGTGTTTCGATTTCGCTGGGTATTTACGATCTCATCGATTCCACCAATCACCACCGCCAGCTGCAGCATCACCGCCACCCGTGGCTCATCCACTGCTGGATGCAGGCGAATGATCTTCAGGAATGCGTTCGGTTCGCACGGCCATGAATCCGATTCAATTGGACATCGAATCCGTGGTTTCTAATCGTAATGTTGGTAATCAGAAGATGCGCACTGCAGGATGAATACAATGAGCTGTGAAGCTCTGCGCTCCCACGTGGTTAAATCAAGGATGTGAATCACTAGAGACTGAATTCTAGATTTGAAGCTTTCGTGAGGCTGCAAGGATTCATACTGTTTGTTTTTTTTTCGGTAAAGTCACGTAGGTACAAATTTTAATAAATGATAACGACTAAAGTAAATCACGACGTTTCGGAGGCAACACAAGCTTCCTTCATCAGGTGTAAAAAAAAGGGCACAGCAAAATAACTGAAGAGAGAGAGAGCTATTTGTGGTGATAGACTGTTATATAGGGTAAGAGGAGGGAGAGGAGCCAGGAAGGTAAAACTAAAGAAGAGCATCGGAGCTACGGATGGGGGGGTGGACGCGGGGCAGGGGAGAGTATCGGTTGAGGTTTAACATGGTTAATCACATCTTTCCAATGATTGCTCAATTTGAATCCATCTTCTCCGTTGAAGCTATGTCTATGTTTGTATATCTGTATGGCTTCATGGACAAATCTTTGGTGGTATCCAGACGGCTTGCAGAGTACCTTGGTATCGGAGAAAACAATATCATGATAACCCACAGCGTTCTAACAGTGATCAGCTACGGCAGAAGAATTCGTTCTTCCGTGTTTCAAATCTGATTTGTGCCCGCAAAATCGGTCAGAAATATGTCGTTTCGTGATTCTACTAACAGCCTAACGACAAAAACCAACAAGATCATCACTAGTTCGACTTCCCTAATCGAACCAACCAAACGTCCATCCCTAAAACCCTCGGCTGCAAGACCTCCCAGATTATATGGTATTCCCAAGATCCATAAAGAAGGTACCCCACTACGGCCCATCGTGTCCACGATCAACTCTCCTACCTACAAGCTAGCCTGTTTTTTTATCGGACACTCTGCTTCCCTTCACTGGCAAGACCACCTCAGCAGTACTTAACTCAACCCAATTGGTTTCTGTGGTCAAGGACATTGTATTGTCTCCTGCCGATATCCTCATCAGCTTTGATGTGGTATCTCTGTTCACCAAGGTCCCAGTGCCTGACACCATAATAACTGAAGACTTGGTCCAACATGGACTGAACCCTGATGTACCTGCGCTGGTTAGGCACTGCCTCACCAACACTTACTTTACCTGGAATAATACCGTCTACAAACAAAATTAGGGTACCCCTATGGGTCCCCTCTTATCACCAGTGATAGTCAATATTTTCATGGAGAAGTTTGAATCAGACGCCATCCAGACATCCACCCTTCGTCCTTCCCTGTGGAAGAGATATGTGGATGATACTTTCGTCATTTGGCCACATAGCCTCCCAGCATTGAACCATTTCCTAGACCACACCAATTCCAGACACCCATCCATCAAATTCACCATGGAAGTCGAGAAAGATGGCAAGCTGCCATTCTTGGATGTTCTGTTTGAGAGGAGGCCTGATGGCTCTTTGGGACATTCTGTTTATAGGAAGGTCACCCACACAGATTCCTACTTGAAACCTGATTCCCACCACCACCTGGTTCAAAAGAATTCGCTCATCAAAACACTATACCGTAGGGCTCATTGCATCTCTGACCAACACCACCTGGTCAGTGAATTAAAACATGTACATCAGTACCCCGGTGTTTACAAATTGAGTTGTACTTGCGGTGACTGCTATATCGGGGAGACGAAACGACATATTTCTGACCGAATTCGCGAGCACAAATCAGATTTGAAACACGGCAGAACTTATTATTCTGCCGTAGCTGATCACTGATACAACGCTGTGAGTTATCATGATATTGTTTTCTCCGATACCAAGGGACTCTGCAAGCCGCCTGGATACCACCAAAGATTTGTCCATGAAGCCATACAGATACACAAACATAGACATAACTTCAACCGAGAAGATGGATTAAAATTGAGCAATCATTGGAAAGATGTGATTAGCCATGTTAAACCTCAACCGATACTCCCCCCGCCCCATCCGTGGCTCCGATGTTCTTCTTTAGTTTTACCTTCTTGGCTCCACCCACACTCCCCCCCCCCATGCTGCGCCCGTCCTCCCTGGCTCCTCCCCCTCCTCTGACACTATATAACAGTGTATCACCACAAATAGCTCTCTCTACAGTTATTTTGCTGTGCCCTTTTTTTACACCTGATGAAGGAAGTTGTGTTGCCTCCGAAACGTCGTGATTTAATTTAGTTGTTTTCATTTATTTGTATTATATTTTTACCTACGTGACTTTACCGAAAAAAACAAGGAATAAGAGACTGAATCTCAATGGGTCCCTCATCTGGTTAAATAAGGGATGTGAATCACTAGAGATTGAATCTCAATGAGTCTCTCATCTGGTTAAATAAAGGATGTGAATCACTAGAGACTAAATCTCAATGGGTCTCTCATCTGGTTAAATAAAGGATGTGAATCACGAGAGACTGAATCTCAATGAGTCTCTCATCTGGTTAAATAAGGGATGTGAATCACTAGAGACTGAATCTCAATGAGTCTCTCATCTGGTTAAATAAAGGATGTGAATCACTAGAGACTAAATCTCAATGGGTCTCTCATCTGGTTAAATAAAGGATGTGAATCACGAGACTGAATCTCAATGATTCTCTCATCTGGTTAAATAAAGGATGTGAATCACTAGAGACTGAATCTCAATGAGTCTCATCTGGTTAAATAAAGGATGTGAATCACTAGAGACTGAATCTCAATGGGGCTCTCATCTGGTTAAATCAAGGATGTGAATCACTAGAGACTGAATCTCAATGAGTCTCATCTGGTTAAATAAAGATGTGAATCATTAGAGATTGAATCTCAATGAGTCTCTCATCTGGTTAAGTAGAGGATGTGAATCCCTAGAGACTGAATCTCAATGAGTCTCTCATCTGGTTATATAAATGATGTGAATCACTAGAGACTGAATCTCAATGGGTCTCTCATCTGGTTAAATAAAGGATGTGAATCACTAGAGACTGAATCTCAATGGGTCTCTCATCTGGTTAAATAAAGGATGTGAATCACTAGAGACTGAATCTCAATGAGTCTCTCATCTGGTTAAATAAAGGATGTGAATCACTAGAGACTGAATCTCAATGGGTCTCTCATCTGGTTAAATCAAGGATGTGAATCACTAGAGACTGAATCTCAATGAGTCTCATCTAGTTAAATAAATGATGTGAATCACTAGAGACTGAATCTCAATGGGTCTCATCTGGTTAAATAAAGGATGTGAATCACTAGAGACTGAACCTCAATGAGTCTCTCATCTGGTTAAATAAAGGATGTGAATCACTAGAGACTGAATCTCAATGAGTCTCATCTGGTTAAATAGAGGATGTGAATCACTAGAGACTGAACCTCAATGGGTCTCATCTGGTTAAATAAAGGATGTGAATCACTAGAGACTGAATCTCAATGGGTCTCTCACCTGGTTAAATAAAGGATTTGAATCACTAGAGACTGAATCTCAATGGGTCTCTCATCTGGTCAAATAAAGGATGTGAATCACTAGAGTCTGAATCTCAATGGGACTCTCAACTGGTTAAATAAAGGATGTGAATCACTAGAGAC